ATTGTCTTTCTCCCTGGGGTCCAGAAACTGTGATCTGAGCCAATCACAATACTTTTACATAGGAAAGCATTGGATTGGCTGAGCTTGTCAAGGAGGCAGATCAGGGGCAGAACCAGCACAGGCCAAACACAGCTCTGGCCAATCAACATCTCCTCATAGAGATGCATTGAATCAATGGAAGTTCAGTGTCTCCATGCAGAGGGTGGAGACACTGAATGTGTGCAGCACTATCCCAGGAAGCACCCATAGTAGCCATCTGAAAAGTGGCCGGTGGATGTATACCTAGGCTGTAATGTAAAGACTGCATTTTCTCTGAAAAAAAATGTGTTTACTGAATAAAGCCTGAATGGACTGATTATACTCACCAGACCAAATACAATAAAATGTAGTTGTTCCGGTAACTATAGTGTCCCTTTAAACATTTATCCGGTGCCAAGGCCAGGATCCCCACGCATCCGGTTTTGTCTGGTGATGTCACTGCCCCTCACTGCAAAATATGGAAGTTCAGGAGGATGGGCTGCAGGGAGGACTTTGGCAGCAGAGAGTGGGAGGCTATGCCACTATTGGTCGTCTGGCGCCAGCATGCTATGTGTGCTGATGACAGCCTCCTGACATGCACAGAATTCACATTAGCCAGCCTGTAACATAATTGTCAGTGAATGATAAACCTGCATAATTGCATATCAGATTTTAGCCCTGAAAAAAATCAATTTATTTAAAATATTTCTGCAACTGAGAATCTGCTAGAACAAAGCTGGCATTTTACTAAAGCGCTTACAGTGTGTTAGGTATTGTGCAGTAATTCTTAATTTGACATCATCGTAAAAATGGTAAGGATTAATTATGCTTAAATTAATAAAACAATTACACACTCAAAATCTTCAGCACAAGGACCATAGATTATTTGTTAAAGCATAATGTAAACAGGATGAAATCATTATAAACAGGGCAATTGTATCTGGAAAGGAATCTCTGTGCCTCTCTGCGTAATGTTTAGAAATTGGCCTTATCTCCATTTTTATTCGTTAAATGGCTCGCTACCTTGTTCTGTATGTGTGTGTTTTCTATACAACACATGCATATATTTTTACAAGATTCTGTAATTAGCACTGATTCCTGCTCTAGTTACCCATTTATGGTGGCCAATAATCAATTGCTGTTTTAATATGCAGAATAATGAATAATATGAAATGCAAGTAATTTAATTGCAAGAGGGCCTAAAGAAGGGGGTTCAAACCCATACACCCCAGCCGTTGTAATACAATTTTCACAATTCTTCTGTCACCAAAATTTACTCTGGCAGAGAATTATGGGAGTTGTAGTTTGAAGTTTTACATTCCTAGTCTAAAATATACAGATTTAACTCCTACGAAGGTTTAAGTTAGAACCTGGTAAAATTCCAAATTGTTAGCTAGCTACATCCATGTCTTGTTCTGTTTCTTTTCCATGTCACACACTTCCCCAAATCCTATTCCACTACCGGCAAGAGAATGGAAAAAGCTACCCTTTGCCTCTATTGAGCTAAATTAAGCATTCTGACCCACCAACCCCCTCCCTGCTCTACCTTTCTAATTGCTGTGTACCTTTTACATTTAAAGGGATTCTATAGTGTTAGGAATACAAATCTATTTCTAACACTACAGTGTCCTCTGGTCCCCCGCTCTCTCTCACAGCCCCTCCTCCCCAGTGGCACAAATGGTTAAAAAAAAGACGGCGCTCCGTCTCCTCTGACGTTACCTGATGTGGGGACCTAATGTACATGTGCCACGAGCATTGAATCAATGCTTTCCTATGGGCAATTCACTGCCGTTGAAAGTCATCATGCAGAGCGTGAGGACGTACAGCGTCATTTAGGGGACCTAGAGTCTGTTAAACGCCCAGAAGCACCAATGGAAGCTGTCTGAGCGCTGCAATGTAAACATTGCAATTTCTCAGAAATTGCAGTGTTTTACATTGCAGGACTAAGGGGGACAGGGGACCCAGACCACTTCAATGAGCTGAAGTTTTCCGGGTACCTATGCGGTCCCTTTAAGCTTTCTTCTTGACAGCAGATGTTATCTGTAGTAAAAGTCTGCTTACACCATGAAGCAGTCTGTGACAGAGTAATGCATCCTGCAAACTAGCGAATTTAGTTCTTTGTCCCACACAGGCATACTGTGTAGAAAGCTTTATGACTGCATAGTACAAGGACCTGCAACGTTTAAAAAACTTTCTTGCTAAATAAGGAGGCCTGGCAAGATTCTGTGTTTATATAAACGTGCCAGATAATAAGGGGTGTGTTACTGGCAAGACTAAGTCGATTTAACAAAACAAAGAAAAAAAAAAGAAAAACTTTTACAAAGTGTACTTTAATTTTTAACATTTGATAAAAAGCGAGTAAACCTACTCTTCCTTTTGATAGATGTCACTTGGGACTAATGTTACTGTTATCATCGGAATGTATACTTTTAGGAACGCTGTGGATGTGTGCTGCTGTGTGAGTTTGAAAGACTCCTGGCATGTTCTTCTAAATATGACTAAAAAAGGGAGCTTGGGACAACCGAGATCAAAATAGCATACCTCTCCCTTCTGACTTCACTCTGAGCTCTGATATCTGCGTTCTCAGATGTGATAAGTTTAGAGGAAGCATGTAAATCCTTTTTTTATATATTTGAAGCCCATTTTCTTAGAGATGTTTTGATAGAGTTGTGCGTTTATTACGTATGTTTATATGGATCTCCACGTACAGTAATGAACATGTACTGTGTGATTGCAAGAAACCTCACTAAGTGGTGTGCGTGTTGTATAAAAAATACAAATGAATTGTTTAGTTAAAACAAATCTGAGTAAAAGAAGGAACATAGGACACAGTTTGCTGTACTTTTTACTTTATATTGACGTATGTAGAATTTATATTTATAGTTTGTTTTGAAACATAGTAATAGATATATATCGCTCCACGAGGAAATAGTACTATTAAAGGGACACTCTAAACACCAAAGTCAATATGTATTAAAGGGACAGTCTGTGCATTTCTTTTCACTTCACACTGACAGCCACTTGAGGTGCTCATGCCGAAGTAGCCAAGTTACATTCAGCTATTTCAATCACAAGGGAAACTATAGCGCTTGGAAAGAAAAGTTTTTTCCTAGCACTGTAGTGACCTACAATGCCCCCCTCCATTGTTTCCCCTCCCCACTCCCCTATAGTGCTGGAAGGGTTATAAACCTGTCTGTCACTTACCTGACTGGGTCTGGCTCTGCCTCTGCTGACGTCAGCAAGTGGGGGAGGACCTAATGTGCATACGCAGCAAGTGCCAAGCTTGGGACTACCCCAAATAAAAGCATTGCTCAATACTTTCCTATTGGGTTTTAGAGGATTTAGTTACCTAACCGCCCGGACGTGCTTTCCAATGGGGTTTTACATGTCACTGGATGTCCTCATGCATAGTGACCAAAAGTCGCCTAATGACCCGGAAGTCCCTCTAGTGGCTGTCTGGTAGAGAGTCGCTAGAGGTGGAGTTAACCCTGCAAGGTAATGATTGCATTTTATCAATAACTGCAATAACTACAGTGCATTAACTGCAATAATTACAATTGCAGGGTTAAAGGGACTGTGATAGTGCAGCCAAACACATCAATGAGCTGAAGTGGTCTGGGTGCCTACAGTGTCCCTTTAATAATGTCCCCTTCTGCTTTGTGTTTATAAACAAGTGGATACATAATATTGTTAAGGTGAAGTGTCTATTGTGAGATTTTTACACAATACAATTGGCAGTACATAATAAGCTTTAGGCTGTGCATTTTATTTATTTTCATTGACAGGTATGCAATTTTTATAAACAGTCCTGGCACAGCCAGGGCATTCTATGTAAATTAATGTCATACCACTAGGAGAAAATGTATACAGCACTGTGGAAGAAATACCTAAACAGGGCATGTGATTGTTTAGCATTTTTTAATTTTTTAAATTTTTTTTTCCGTGCATAAGTTTAAACATAACACTCGTTCATGTTGTGCCACAATGGCAGGAACATCCTTGGAGGAAAGAACGCATAAGAGTTGTGGCAAAGAAATTAAATGCACATTTTTTGTTTAAAAATAGAGACATTAGGTTTAAACTAGGTGATAGTCAAAGATGCGGTAACACTGCAGTTAATAAAACATGCGTTGTGCTGACTGACTACATGAGTGAGAAGTATAACCAGGTAAACTAGTGAATTGCCCCTGTGACATATTAGGCAATTGAGACATGACAGTAGGCCGACTAAACACAGGGCACTTGTGAAGATTAGCAGCGGTTGTAAAAGACATTGTTTGCTTAAGTGTTAACTTTGCTAGCGTATGCATTTTTGCCTTACAATACCATGGCATTAAATGACAGCACTTTTTTGAGATTAATATAGGAATAGTAAATAAGCAGTGCATGCATGATACCTAAACAGTTAACAGCATAGATTGGTTATATGCACTCTATGTGAGTCGAGGATTGTTATCTTCGCGTGTGGCTAAGTTCGATGTTTAACCAAAGTAGGGCCTATTATATGATTGTTTGCTTGAGTGTGAGTGCATAGTTAGGGGCCATCTTTGATGTCAAAAATCCCCTAGAGCTTATCCTACAAGCATTTTATAAATGGCAGCAGGGTTAAGATGCCGGTCGAAGGCTAGTTGTATGTTGCTGAATATGAGGGTTAAGATGGTCTACTTAGTGTAAAAATAGCTATGCCCTTCACCCAGGGATTTGTTTTGTTTTATACATTCCCCCTAAGGGGTCATTTTGAGTTATGTGTAGCACTTTACGTGTACCATATGTTAAACGTGTTTAAGCTCTACCTGCTGTGTTTCAGGGTGTTATGTAGGGATAGCTGTGCCCTTGTTTACAGTCCCGCATTGCATCTAGCCGATGCCCCGCCGGGTTGACACAGAGTCCAGTTGTGAAAGTTCCAGTATTGGGTCCTTCCGCCCGTTGCTTTGAGGACCTGTGTGAGGTGCGGTGGGGGAAGATGCTTCTAGTGGGGTCTGTTAGGACCTCTTCAGCGGCGTCCGGATCTGGTGCAATGAGGAATGGCTGTCTCTCCTTGGCTTCATGGTTGCCGTCGGTGAGGTGTTGAGCTTAAGTGGGTTCTGTCGTGATGTGCGGTGCAGCCGTCTGGATTTCCTTTTTGGCGGGAAAGGTCTCCTTCTATGGCGCCATCTCCGAGCTCCTTTTGAGGGTATGGCTGCTCTGCTGTAGGTGGGCTGTGCAGTCGTTCCTGTGTGTGAGTATGCCTCCATCTCCGCTTGCCTCTCCCTGCTCTCCATTTTTGCCCAGAAGGCATCGAATATACCGTTAAGTCGTGATAGTGTGTCGGCCCCTTCCTCGCTGCATTTGGCGGAGCACGTGGCTTCCGCCATTGTGTGAGCCTCTGCTTTGGTTGGACGCTTGTTTTGCCCTGCAGTCTGTAGCCTCTCTGGCCCAGTTGCTTGCGGGGAGTGGACCAGGACCACCCCCACTGGTCCTGGGGGGGGTTGGAGATCTGTGGCTCCGGTGTGTGGGGGAAGAGAGCGGCCGTTTCTCTCCATCCCCGTCCACCGCAGGCCGCAGCTTGCTGATTCTGGTGCCCGATCTTGGAGTGTTGTCTATTCGGATATCAGATGATTCGCCGGGATGCCCCTGACTTGGGTGGCATACTGCGGCATAATTTCAGGCTTAGTGTCGTCGTTTATTTCCATATATTTGGCAAGTGTAGTGGGAGCCCATCGAACCTGCGACTGCTCCGTTTGCTGGTCAGGCTCCGCTCCCCCCCTTTAGCATTTTTTTTAATGCTCTTTGACAGCAAGAGTATTCTTCAATGATATAACCTTGAAAGTGGATTTGCTTTAGGGCTAAGTGTGTGTTCTATTTTTTATGCTTTTTTTTTTTTTTGGTATTATTTATTTATTTTTATTTTTTTACTTGCCTTCATTGAGGTTCAGTAGCATTTTCAGTGGCGTTGAATAAAGAACTATCAGGGCCAAAGAGGTGACAATCATGCTTTAAAACTGTGTATGCAAATAGCATGCAGGTCAAATTAGGTCATTTTGAAGAGAAATAAATGATCCTGGAGTCTGATTTTTACCGAATGTAATAGCTGAACAAAAAGCTCTGATACAGTGAAGCCTTAATTAAAGTGATTTAAAACAGTACAGTGTAAAGTCTGAATGGAAATATGCCTTTAATGGCTAACAAGTAAAGTCTCATTATTTATTAAACAGTTTCTGAGTCTGCTCGCTCAGACAATGGATTTATAATTTTATTTAAGGCGCTGGCTTTGTTAAAAATAGAAATACTTTGATGTAGCTTTTTTTAATTCTTTTTTTTCAATTAAAATTGCCTGTGCTGTACTCCTGGCAAATAGCTTGTAACTGGGAATATTTAAGGTACGCAAAAGTGAATAATCTTGTAACCAAGTGGAAAATCATCTAGTAATTACAAATTATTGGCTACAAACCGTATAATTAAAATTTATCGTATTTAAACTAATGGAAATATATTCTGTTAAACTGGATTTTGTGAGCTGATTTCTTTTTTGATCAGGCAGATTGTTATGTACCTGGTCTCTGTGTATTTTCACCAGCTCACTTAGTTTAGGAACTACATTTAAAAGGAGATATACTTATTGAAAAATTTTCATTTGTTCCACTGACTTGTGATTGCAATAAAATTTTACATACTGGCACAAAAACAGATAAGTATAAATATATATATTTTTTTTACGAAAACTAATCACATTGCCCATTCACATCCCCACAATTGTATATAATTGTACAATTGTTATAAATATTTTTTTAAATGGCTTTGTTTGGTCAAATGGGCTCCCTGAGGCTGTTTGACTGAAAGCCCATAGGCTGCATGTGTTTGGCTATGCCCTTATTTTTAGAATGCCATGCCAAACATTTGGTGCAGATGGGGACAGCCGAAGGAACATTTTATCCCAGCAGTCTAGTAATCGGCCTTCTTGCACGAAATGTTACATTAAAGGGACCCTATAGGCACCCAGACCACTTCAGCTCATTGAAGTGGTCTGGTTGCAGTATCCCAAGTCTCTTAACACTGCAAAGGTAATTATGCAAAGATAAGTATTACATAAGGACATCCAGCGTCATGTAAAACCCCATAGGAAGGCATTATACATGCTTTCGTAGGGGGAAAATACTAATGCGCACGGCCATTGCCGCACATGCGCATTATGTTTCCCCCCGACGTCTGACATCGAGGGACATTGGCGCTGTACTCAGGTAAGTGACCTTCTGCACCAAGGGTGAGGGGGGGGGACCACGACAGAGGGGGGCACTAAGGGGGAGCTATAGTGCCAGGAAAACAACTTTGTTTTCATGGCACTATAGTTTCCCTTTAAGAAACAGTGACAGGCAGTGGATATACAGACACGTCACTGCTCCAAAATACATACCCCCCCAATGGAGGAGGAAGAATTAATTTTGTTGGGCTTGCTAACTCATTGAAGCAACATACCCACTTCTGGCTCTAGTGAGTTGACCAGCAGCATTATAAAAAGGTAAAGAGATATAGTAAAAATATACAAGCAATAGACTTGGCTGTAATTTAAGGAGGTGAAATAAGTGATATAATAAAAGACATGCAAACAGATGGAGATTGAGAAAACGTGTGAGGAATGAGGCGCGGAAGATAAAAGGTATGTTGTAAAGGGGAGAATGAAAACAGAGCATGGAGTAAATAGATAGGGAATATTGAATCAGAAATGGAAGCTAAAGTGAGGAGTAGGAATGGGATGAAGAATAGAAAATACAAAAGAATAAAATTAAGCTGAATAAATAGGGAATGAATTAAGGTGAATTGAATAAATCCATATTAATTAGTATATTTTATTTAGAAGAGAAGGAGAATAAAAAGCGGATTTGGTATAGGGAGTGGAACTAAAAAAGGTGAAACAGAATAAGGAAGGATTAATATTGAATCAGGTGTGGAAGAGTTTGTATGGAAAACTGAATAAAAAGAGGAATTGGAATGAGAAGTGCCCTGGCATATGGCATTAGAATGGGAGAGCTAGAATAACGAGGACAGAGTCAGTGAATGGAAATAAGATATTGAGTGGGAAGGGAGCCAGAATAAAAATGAAGGGCTCAATTAATGAGAGGAAGGAGATGAGGAGGTCGGAAATATAGAATGAGGGAACAGGTGAATTAGTGGAGCTTTAGAGTAGTATGTATCCGTGATATGTTTATGACGTAAATAAATTATAGTGAATTTGCGTGATGTCTGAGCATGTGAAAAAAACATCTGTTGGAAGGGAGTCTCTTTTATTGAAATCTCCTCGTTGGCATTGAATAGATGATTTATCATAGAGACTAATAATGTGCTCATGGCAAAGTTTGGAAATCTCTGCATTAATTACCTCTGGTCTAGTGCCGCCATGTTGCCAGTCAGTTGGTGTTATATTACTGTAACACCCACCTCCCGTCCCTCCTTCACCCTGCCCTTGGTGTGAATGGCAGAGCAATCCTCTGCTTGGGTTACTTAACTAATTGCCAGCGCCAATCACTCTGTCTCTGTATTACCTAGTGAAGAGGTGCCTAAAAGGTAGATCCCCAGGTGTGTTAAAACTACAGCTTTCATGATGCTTTGTCATTCTAAATGCATTCTAAAGGTGTGCAAAGCATCATGGGACTTGTAGTTCTACATCATCTGGGGATCTAGCTTTTGGGCATCTCTACCCATGCGGTGCAAAAGGCATTGAAGTAACCATAGCAACTTGTGGTTGCTATATTAGGATAGTACCAGATCTCTCCTGCTCTCCCTGTCAGTCAGTTGTTTCGCAGAGATGTCCATTCTGAAGCACTTATTGGCTGTGGGGGAAGCAAATATTTTGACATGGATATATTGTAGATTTTCCCCCAATCTAGGCATTTATAGCAGTTCTGCCAGCAATACGTATTGGTGAAATGTAATTTGCTTTTAAACTATGCAAATGTGTCTACCATGACAGTACCTTTTAATTTATAATGAGGTGTGAGTGAATCTAAGTTGTGTGTCATGAGTAAGAAAACAAAATGACCCATTTATACATTGTTGCATACTAGTCATGTGGTATCTGCTGCTCAGCAGACAAATTCCGACCTGCCTGTGACGGACCGCTGGCACTCTGACTGAGTACCTCCGCCAATCGATGCTCCTAGCGCTTGCCGAGGACTCCGAGCACTCCAACCGACACCATCAGCACTGCAGACCCCACTTCCAGCTATGCAGCATGCGCCGGGGTCTCGCCGTCTCTCACCCACCCTGGATCCACGACCAGGGTAAAATACAGCTATCAGCACAGGGGCCATAGTCGGAAGGCATGAGGCTAGCCAGTAGTCCCCTCCAGGCACAAGTGGCGAAGGGCACTTCGTCACACTGCCATACCAAGGAAGTTGGACAGCAATTGTCTACTTAGCCATTTAGCCCATTTATCTCCTACATTACTTTCTTACCTGTCATCAATTATAGAGAGTGATGACATGACACAGGAATATGTCGAGATTGAAGGACAACTGTCATCAGAATGTTTTATTATAAGAATCCTTGCAGTGTGTAATGAAAATTGATGTCATTTTTACAAAATTAATTCTATGTAAAAAACACCTGAAAAACTTGCCCCTAGTATCATAGAACATTAGAGCCCTCTGCCGTGTTCATAAACCTTGGTCGGACTGAGGTAGAATCCAACCATTAGGCTCCTGTTTCACTCTCTGCACAGAGGGGTGACATCATCAGCCATCGCCCTGTGTGCTCTGCCTAGTCCAAATTCCAACTGAATTTGCTCAAGTCAAATGCGGTCAGAATTCGGTCTGTCAGACGATTCTGTAACATTGATTCGCACGATGAAATCACTGTTTTTCCGAACTCATCAGAACCAATCTACAGTCTGGAATCGCAAATTGTCACTCACTTGCTATTTTCAAGGGAATGATAATTTGAAGAACTATTTGCCCCCTGACAGTGCTAGCACCAAGCAGTCAAATTGTTTAAAAACCTTGACAACGCGAGGGTCTATTATGTGCCGGCTGGCTAGCAAGCGCTGAATGTTACATGAAGAAAGTAAAACAATAAAAAGTAGTAAATAAAAAAAATCCTATGTGGATCAGTAAGACCCTCATATTGCTGCAATGGAGGTATTTTACCTCCATATTCCCCGATCTGCCATCTGGCATTTGGGGGCATGTCTACTAAACATTAAAGCTTACGACGGTGCAGCAGTTGCTGCCCAGTTGCTAGAAAAGGCTTGAGAAATAACATGATGAAATAGTCCCACCCCCTGTGCCCCCACCTGTGAGCTTTAGGTATGGAATACTACACATTTTAAGGGAGGAGGCCTAATTGAATTTGAATATGACATGTTAAGTTAATCATGAATAACCACGTGAATGGTTCCACTTTTGGATGAGACACAAAAGAGTGCAATGATTATTTGACTTCCTATAAAGCGTAGATGGAGGGCATACTAAAAAAATGGAAAAGTATTTCACTACGAATTTGGCTTTTGGTAGTTTTACAGTGTTTTCTAGTTGTTTTTAAACTCACTGGATCCAATGTTATGGTTAAATAGTTTAACGTATTTTTTTTAATTTACTTTCCTGCTCCTGAGCACGGAGATAGATTTCTCAGTCCCCTTTATAAAGAAGCTGCATCATCTTTACATCATTGATTATAAACATGAAAATCGCCTGTTACGTGTATTATTTACCTTTTGTCATGTGATTCTCTGTTCGTTTTAAAATGTATTTTAAAACTGTAGCAATTGGCATCACAATCCAGTTCAATCCTGGGACAAGCAAGTCACACTTTGTACTGGAGGAAGATAAACAGAAACATTGTATCTGTTATTCTTCTGTAATGCTGACTGGCAGGAGCATAGGGCAGAGCTAACAACAGAGAGCCAAGATGGAGATGTACCAGAATATTGAGCCAAGATGGAGGGACTCTGTCCCAGAAGAAAGATAAATACCACGGTGTGAATTTCCATATTAGAATAAAGCCCTAATACATACATATTTGTAAAGTAGTAGGAGTTAGTAAACATAATATTAAAAAACACTGGAAGGGACAGTTTCTCTTTAAGAGCTCATTTTGTGTGTCACTTACCTAGGAACTCTTCCCAGTTTGAATGAAAGGTTAGAATGATTTGACAGCTGAGGAAATATATTCTCATCCTTTGTAGTGGTGGTAATCCTCCACTTCCCTACATATTCATTTTTTTGTGCAAGTTATATTTTATTGCCATTGTACAAAAGGATACAGAAATGATATGAGCAAGGGTGAACATTTTTCAACATTAAGCATGTTAACAGATAAAGTCTCAGCTCACCTGCCAGGTCAAGGCAAACCGTGTTAGATGAGTCCTACATTAACAATTCTCCTTTGTTTTTTTAAGCTAGAAGGTATGTTTGGCAGGTGAGCTTACTCTTGAATGGTCATTGTAGTGATACTAAAAAGCCTTCAGTTCTTTAAATGTGCATAGGAATTTGGGATAGTGCACAAGTAAACATTTTTTTTTGTTTTAATTGTATGTATTGAGGCTTATGTGCAGTACACAACCTGGTGCGAAACTGATCCGTGGGCCCCACTCCCTCCCCCATCTGTGCTCCCCCGATCCATGCCCCCCTCCCCACGACACATACATACAGACACAGACATACAAAGAGGCACTCACACATACACACATACATACATACAGACACAGACATACATAGAGGCACTCACACATACACACAGACACATACATACATACAGACACACACACACACACACACACATAAATACAGAGACATACAGTCTGTATGTGTGTGTCTGTATTTATGTGTGTGCGTCTCTATGCATGTCTGTCTGTGTGTGTGTATGTCTGTATGTATGTGTCTGTATGTGTTTGTGTCTGTATGTATGTGTGATACAGACACATACATACAGAGACACACACACAGACACATACATGCAGAGACACACATACATACAGACACACACACAAACAGACACATACATACACATACATACAGACACACAGACACATACAATATGTTTAAGTCACCCTCCAGTTTCCTACTTTTTGCAGAAAAACTGTAATAGTTACATTGCAGGGTTAACTCCACCTCTAGTGGCTGTCTACAAGGGCTTTCGGATCCTAATCTAAGTTTTGCTAAATGTCGATGGACATCTTCATGCTTTGCAGGTAAAACACCATAGTAAAGCATTGATTCAATGTTTTCATATGGTTAATTCCTAATGTGCTTATAGCGCTCACCACACATGCTTCCTACCTTTTGCAGGAGGGTGACTTCCCTGAGGTCCAGTGTGGGCTCAGCCTGATGGGAGTCAGAGTTCCCACTCTGACTCCCTCCTCCTTCCTCCCGCTCGGCTCTCTGATAGCTGGGAGGAGTGATGTGCAGTCACTTCCTCCTAGCTATGTCTGACATCATCACAGGGGGCCCGGTCGCACTGTTAAAGCGCCCAGCGCTGACCGGGCCCCCTGACAATCCATCTCCATCTGGTGGCCCTAACACCCCTGTACGCCAGTGCTTATGTGTACAATAGTCATTGCTCTGGCCCAGGAGTAGTGGGAGTTTGAGTGCTGGGCTTAAATTTGTATTCCTAGTACTATAGTAACCTCTGCCTCCCCCCATTCCCCACCCCCGCAGTCGTTAAAGGGTATAACCTTACCTCCTTCATTGACATCAGTTGACTTCAGGTGCCTAATGCACATGTGTGGTGAGCGCTATAAGCACATTAGGAATTAACCATAGGAAAACATTGAATCAATGCTTTACTGTGGTGTTTTACCTGCAAAGCATGAGGATGTCCAGCGACATTTAGCAAAACTTAGCTTAGGATCCAAAAGCCCTGGTAGACAGCCACTAGAGGTGGAGTTACCCTGCAATGTAACTATTACAGTTTCTCAATAACTGCAATAATTACAATCACAAGGTTAAAGGGACAGGGACACTGCAACCAGACCACTTCAATGAGATGAAGCGGCTTGGGTGCCTATAGTGCCCCTTTAATTTCACCAGCCATCACTGATTTCAAAGAAAAAAAGGGGTACAGAAATGAAATGAGAAAGGATAAACATTTTTCAACATCCAACATCAAATCTTATTGGTTGAAAAGATTCCCTACAATACAAATACAGCTAGAATTACACAAGTGTAAATTTATGACAGCCCTACATCTGCAGTAAAAAGCACTTCCAACACAATCCCAACGATGGGACAATGGTTAGACAGAGTGGAGGAGATATACATGGCAGAGTCTGTGCAGGCCTCGCTGCTGGGAACTGAGGAGAGGCACGTGGAGAGGTGGCGGCCGTGGTTGGCTTATATGGCGGGGGGAGGCACTGGCATAAGAGAAGGAGTTGGATCACTCCTATCGCAGTTCTGGACCGCCCTTTTGACTGATACTTCCTTGCTACCTTAACCACCACATGGCTAAACCCCAAAAACCAGGAGGAGCAGCATATTCCGGGCAGGTGGGCTAGCTCCTAACCTCTACCCCCCTCTTTCTTTTCCACCTTTCCCCCTTCAAACGCCTTTTCTTCCCGTCTTTCTCTTCTTCATTGGCCCATTCATTTTCTTTGCTGCGATTTCATCCTTTATGTTTCCCTTTTTAAGCTCCTACAATTGCCCCCACCCCCACACATAGAAGGGAGGGCTGGAATTTATCTGCTCACAGACAGCGTGGCCAACAGACACTCCGCATACCTATTGCCGTACAATCATATTGCCGCTCTATACCCGTTAGGTACTGTTTGCTAGTTAATGTTTTATTGCATGTGAGCAACAACCTTGCCTCCTGTTGCAAGGAGTTGGTCAGACACTGTCTCTGCTATAACTGTGCACCGATGCACATTACGCTGTTATTTAGCCTGCATTACAGAAAATTATATCGCTCTTTACAATGTTCGCATTGACATTGACGTTAGGACCTGCATGTCCAATATGTTTGTTGCATTTTCAAGCATACTTTTAAGTGTTTTTGCCTTCGTCAATAAGCAGCTTTGAATACCTAAAATGCACTTCCAAGAGTAAAATTAGTAAAAAAAAAAAATAATAATAATAATAATAATAATAACCCCATAATATTTACCATCATTCATCTGGCACCTTCTGCTTGACTGGATTCCCAAGGTTTCTTAATATATATTTTTGTTTTATAAATTTTGCAGAATTTTTGTAGAAATTATCTCTTTTTAATTGAGTGTGGGAACTGTTTAGATCTGTGTCATAAGATTCCAAGCAAATTAAATTAACTTGGAAGATTGGATAAAATATATCAGTATCAGATTTTAAGTTCAAAAAAAGTTTAACAAAATCCCAAGTCTATTTATTTATTTATTTATTTATTTAAAAATTAAGATGGCCAGATCGTTATTCACAATTGTTGTTATGTGTCAATAGATGACATATATATTCTATTTTTTTCCTTATGGTAACAAGCATGGTATGATCATCTGTTACGGACGTAATAACCTTTCTTGGAAGTGTACTTTTGCATACAGTGACAAAAGGAATCAGTCTGTACTTCATTGTGTAAACTTGCAAATCCCAGAGAGGTTAGTTAGCAAAACACTTAACATTTAAAACGTGTTCTGAAAAATCTTTGTGTTTCGAAACCACTTTTACGCAAGCCCGTCCCAAACAGGTTGTCCCGTCTGCAGAGCTAATGCAGTAAATGTGCTAGAACGTTCATTTGCTAAAGCTATACTGTGGAGTGTTCCCTCTGTGAGGCAATTGCATGCCCCAGATTCCAGAACAGCTATGCAAGCTGACAGCCGAAAGTGTGCTTTCCAGTCGTCAGTACTTAACTATAGAAGATCTGCTGGCCTGCCAGGTTCTTGTACGAAAGTCTTGTGGTACGGGAACATTATAGTAACTTTACTGTGACATGACGAGAGGGGTAAAACAAAGGCACTTTAATGGCAAGTGATCTACGCAAACAGTTTAGAAACCTTTTCTGAAGACAGTCTAACAGTGAGTAGTTTCAGATTGTGTTTACTTTTTATGGGGTCGTATAGAACTTTTTAGCGCGGGAATGCTTAGTAATGATCACTTAAAGGGATACGTTTAAGTACTCTGAAAATAGGTAAAAATATTTAACTGTGTTAGTCTGGAACTCAGCATGGTGTAAACACTCTTAAAGGGACTGTAATGATGTAAAAGAAATTGGTGTTTTGTTTTTTTAAATTTAAGTTCCTATTTCTAATTTTAAAAAATTATTGCAAAGGGAATCTTAACATGTAGATTGCATTTGGCATTTGATGCATTTCTACTTTTTGCGTTTGAATTTAAAAGGTCAATGTTGTATTAAATGTCACGTCATGTTAACTTGATTTAAATAAACGAAGAATTGTGGGGTAATATAAATTTTAGGTCGGTTTAGCTGGCTTAAAAAAATCTCCATCTCCACTATATTTCTGGCTGTTTTGGCAACCCCCTCGTCAGTTCTCCCCAATTCTACATTTATTATTTGAACGTTCCGCATGTTTGTTTGTTTTTGTTAATTCATGTATTTGTCTACCTATTTTATTGCAGGTTGTATCTGAGTTACCCCTTGCCATTATGAGATGTCGTCCCTAACCGCTTCGTTTGTGCAAATTAAATTTAACGACCTTCAGTTTTATGAAAGCTGTGGAGGTGGAAGTTTTGGGAGTGTTTACAGAGCACAATGGCTGTCACAAGACAAGGAGGTAGCAGTGAAAAAGCTTCTCAAAATAGAAAAAGAGGTGAGGTGTTATTTTCATACTATTTTTGCTCTGACTTATTAGGTTATATTTGTAAATTCAGATTGTAGAAATGTGCAAAGGGTTATTTGACCTTGTCCGTAACAATTAAGGGGCAATGTTCTACTTTATGTCAGTAGTGTTGCCATATCTCTATATATTCTCACTTGACCATTAACCTTCCATCAGGTTGTGAAATGGTGAGTATCAGTTGGATATGGGTACGAGAACTCAAGAAATGGGTTAGACCAGGGACTTCCAACTCATTTCCTAAAGCACAAAAACATCCAGGAGTTTGCCAATTTTGTTCTACTGAGGATACAGGCAAAATACAGGTTACTGATGTTTCTTGAAGACTGAGTTGGGGCCGTTGCCCTTGACCAGAATTTAGAATCTTGCAGAGTATTTATTGTCGCTGGGTTACAGGTGCTTAATTATTTCTTAAAGGGTTACTCCAACCACCATGACCACATCTGCTTTTAGAAGTGGTCATGGTGGTAGGAATCTATGTTTACATAGCTTGAAACGCTGCACATACAATGAAATTTCCACTTTTGTTGGGGAAGGTAGTGGCACCCCACAGCACACATAACTAGGCAGCCCGGAACTCCTGCCTAATATAAGTTTGTGCAAAAAATATGTTTGTCGCTGGTAATATGTTATCGGTAAGCAATGTCTGCAAGGGGAAGCTGCAATGTGCCCTCCCTCTATTTTTTATTTTAGCTCTCTCTGCCTCCCAGCCTACTAGTTAATGCTTGTTTTTTTTATTAATTCTATATTACGTCCCTCCATTCTCCATCCTTGAACTACGTTCCTTACACCAGAAGTCTGTAAGATTTAAATCAAAATGACTTAATAATTCTCTCTTACCTTTAAAAAAAGAACACCTGAGGTTATTGAGTATTGAGCATTTATTTTGTACGTGTTGTGTTTTCTGCAATTTCCTCATTAAAGATAAAGATTAAAAAAAGAACAAAGTTGCCAAAAAGGCCCTGGTAAAATACCTTGGAGTACCAGGATTCATTGCACTTTGGATAATATAAAGAGTACTTTTTAACATTTCTTCTACAATGAGAATGGAATAAAATTAGACATGGTAAAAATGGTCAAGAGCTTCTTTCTTTCCAGACGTGCAAAATAATCCCACCCCAAGCACGAAACGCGTCAGACAATCTCTCCAGCCCTTGCCAACGGCACCGATTTTTAAATGATGAACAATTTTTTTATACT